CTTAATCCTATTTAGTAATTAGTATTTTTTAGGTTAGAAAAAGAAATATTATTAAGATCGAGAAGAGAAAATGTACAGGATATATTAGTCTAATCTTATTTGGGAAGGGTTACTTAGGAAGCATTATAAATATCGTTGAGAGACTTTGGTTATTCAAAGAAATATTTGAAAGTTTCTTAATTTTATGATTGTATGATGCAATCAAAACTTTGTGTGAAAAACCTGATACTCGAGGATTTTCTTTTTTTCTGCAATTCTGGGTTCTGTAAGAGGAAGGAGATTAAGGGTCGTTAAGAGGGCCTCTCTTTGCTGGGTTGTGGGTGATATGGCTGGAGTGAAACACAAGGATCTTTAGGGATAATTTTTTTTTTTGTACCAAACAACTGGGGATACTGCCCCCTATACAAAAGCTTTACAATGTAGTTAGTGAGTCAATGACATGCTCAAAATTCACATCACTAATCATGTCATGTTCTATAATAAAAATCCAAAATAATGCATCTACTCATCTCTCAATCTATACAAATCAGTTGTTTTACCCTCAAAAGTTATAGAATTTCTGTCTTTTCAAAGAACCCAAAATAAGGATAGAGGGGGATAAGTTGTCTCTTGATATCTCTTTCAGTTAAGACATATGATTCCTTTAAATATTATTCTCACTCAATGTTACATAGAGATTCTCTGACCATTGTTTCTGGTCTCATATTCTTTATTCTCTCTTTTTTTTTTTGGGGGGGGGGTTCTTCTTTCTTGACATAGTAACATTTCGTTTCCTATAAGAGAAATGTTGACCATTGTTTTTCAGGTTGTGAATGAACCAACTGACATGCACTGTCCTGTTGTGGAGATGTCAACACGTTCTAAGCTTAGCTGCTTGAGTTGGAACAAGTATGCTAAGAATCATATAGCAAGTAGTGACTATGAAGGAATAGTAACTGTTTGGGATGTGACAACCCGGCAGGTAAATATTGAATTATTCTTGTTACTTCTTAATCTTGATATCTTCCTCAGCTAATGTTTGTATCTTTATTTATGTATCATCATAAAATACTTCATTTTCTACACTTATTTGTAAATGATTTTGGCAGTCCCTAATGGAATATGAAGAGCATGAGAAGAGGGCTTGGAGTGTTGATTTCTCATGCACAGAACCATCAATGCTTGTATCCGGAAGTGATGATTGTAAGGTACCTCTGTTTTTTTTTCTTTCTCATTTCAAAGAAAATCTTCCTCTACTTATGAGATCTCTGCTTTACTGTATATTAATGCAATACAATAATGGGATTTTAATGCCACCATCATGCGAAACTATATAATGGAACTACAGTATGCTGTATCAGGTAGTGCCAGGAAGTGTCTTTCCATTGTCAACCCACTCATAATCACCAAAAGTGTGCCTGTTGTAACTCACTCAACGTAATCTTGAATTGAACCAGTTTGGGTGATTTGTTAATGTTACTTATGCTTGATTCAAAATGATAATATCCCCCCTCCTTTGGCTGGGTAAGTGCAAGTACGAGGAATAAGGTACAGTTTCACTGAAACTTTCACCTGAATGTTGTCCTTCCACTTTTTTCTTTGAGAGAAAATGAGATGATTCACAATAGTAAGTCGTTGACATGTCGAGCATAACAAATCCTTATTAAGTAATGGTTTTTTAAGGGGGCCAGCTTAGGGGCCAGGCCTCTCTCTGACCTGATAACTAATTTAGCCTCCCGCTCAGCTCTATCAACAGGCCTTTTCTTTTCCAATACTTAATAAGGTCTCTCATGGCCAGATTTTTATTGCAGCCTTCTCTACCATAAAATTCGACCTTTAGGGTCAACCCGCAGCTTCTACAAGGAAGGCGGCGCAAAGGAGGCTCGAGGGCTTGTTATGGAAGATAGTAAGGGCCAACAAATAGGGAAAACCAAAGTTGTTTTCTGGTCCCACCTGAGCCGAATGGTTAAGAAAAGATAATAGTAGATATTGCTAGTTGTCTGGTCATACCCAAATAACAATATTCCAGAGGAAAATGCACCTAAGATCAAATATTTCGAGCCGGCTTCCATGGAAAATTCAGATTTTCTTTTTGATGCTGCGAGTACATAAAAACATAAACTTTGAGGCTCAATAGCCAAATACATGGCAATTGAATCATGAGCAGAGATCATAAAGAGCATACTGCAAGTAGGAACTGGAATTAATACACTGAATTCAAAAGCATCAAACCTCTCTTTTTTGGAAGAATCAGAACACATCGAAATGGTACCAGCCGTACTTAATAATAGAAGGATTTGGCAGAAATATGTAAAATTGTCCTTCCCAAAAAGATTATTGTAAGCAAGGTATCAAGAGAGTGTCGCCTCTGTATGAAGGGATTAGAGATACCTAGAAGAACACAAAACGTCAGTAGTGGTTCCAAGATACTCCCTACAAATGATGGATTAACCTTTAAATAAAAAACTCAAGGTCTTGAAACAATGGTCTCTAATTGTAACGTCTCGACCCCAATATTGAGGCACAGACGTACGCATACTGTTCCCAACTAGTGGGACCTACAAAATAATAATGTGCTCAGCTCCAAAATTAAGTAAAACTAATCATCTATTGTAATATATACAATATTTATATATACAAAATATGAGGTTCAAAACGTAGAGTTTAACAAAATGATACAATAACCTCAAAAGACAGATTAAATACTAAGCAGGGTACCCTCACGTGTCCTCCTCTCGTCCGGTACTTTCTCCGTGTTCACCTGATCTATAAAATATTGGGGTAAAATTTAACAAGTTTCACTAGCTCAGTAAGTATTCCCACTATTCTAATACTCTAGTTAGGCATCATGCAAACACACGCATATATGTAATAAATGCAGTATTCAAAATTTCCCAACCAAAAGTTCTTTCTAATTTTTCACAATGCTTTTAACTTTACAATCTTTACGCTTAATAGTTCGATAATTTTTAATAATTAATTTTTTATCTTGTAACGTTACATGTACACATTCTCACTCAAATATCACATTTACATTCAAGTTATCACATTTACATTCAAAATATCACATTTACACTCAATATCACATCTAGAGTTTTATTGCGGGATGTCATTTAAATCGTCATTGAGGAAAGGTGCAAATGATCCTCCCATCACATGGATAACACTCACACATATCGATATTGGTCATAGTAATGCATTAGCTAGGTGACCCGCAACACTCACAATATGCCTATCTATGTTTGAAGTAGGTTTCATATCTTTATTCATGTGCAAGTTTACCACACTTTTCGCTGAATTTCAGCTACACATACAACCTGCCCTCCTTGACATATAACTAAACGAGTATGATTTCAGGATTCTTACACTCTATGCTCTTACCAAAGTGGCTTTCAGGTAAATCTAAAAGCACCTTCAGAT